GATCCATCCTTTCTTCCTTGATTGGCCTGCAAAGTAAACTTGGCATTCCAAAACTAGAATGAAGGACTAGCTCATTCCCCTCACTAGAAAAATCACAATGGAAGGCTATATGATTCTCATCAGTAATATAAGTATTTGATAAAATTAACTCTCAAAATAAAAAAAATTGCTTTCAATAAGAATGAAGAAAAAGAGTAAAGTGAGGTTGTTATGAACATATATGTGGATCACAAAATTTATCAAGACACTGGCGTTGAAACTTGAAACAATTTCAACAGTGATGAAGACAAAGTACAGAAAAACCTCTGAAAGTCCATATGTGATGTAGTAGTGCTTGTCCCTATAATCAAGAGCACTAAAAAGAATGTATTCTCGGCACCTTCAAAAAATTGAAGTGTTAATATTTTTCTCTTTGCTGTATTTTTCTTCGAGTAGTGATATATGTAAGAAATTTTACAAGAACTTATGTGCCTTAAATTTAAACCATCATCCTGATTTTAAATGTCTAAGTCCTAAATAAAAAAATAAAAATGAAAAGGATATGATTCACTAGACATTATTTGTTCTCACTTTTCCTTGTAAATATTTTCCCGTACGTATCATTTTTTTTTTTGGGTAAAAGGTTAAATGCATTACCATCAATCAAAAACTGTACAGTGCTACTAACTCAACTATTACATCATGGTATACCAATGATTCCTATTGATATTAAGTATCGAATATCGTCACTAATTCCTTTTCTACAATGTATTTGCATTCTCCATTTAATTTCAAGTTTCAACTGTCTAAATCTTTCATCCGCCTTTACACATTGCTGCCTGAACTTGCGGGTGTTCCTCTCCGCCCATATATGATATACAGTTGCACAAATTGCAGCAAACAACAGCCTTTGCTTCACGTTCCTGTGTTTCTAGATCTTGAGAAAGCAGTGGATCCTGTTCTTTTCAACTGAATATTCAGTCCCAGCCATGCTTTCAGATATTCAATCATTTGCTGTGAATAAGAACAGTTAAAGAATAGGTGATTCATATCTTCTTATGGACCTGCAAAGTTCACAGAACTGATTACCCTGTAGTAACCTCATTTTACTCAATCTTTCTTGTGTAAGTAACATGTCCTTCATTGCTAGCCAGCTTATAAAGCTATGCTTGGGCAGACTATAAGGACTCCAAATAATCTGAGAAGCTCTATCCCTTGAGCAGTTGCCTGTCAACCATTAATAGCTACTTTTAGTAAAATACGGTCTCCCTCCATTTGCCATCCATTTGCCATTTTGCACTGCCTCTTTCATTTCATTTTTTACATTGATGGGCTTCCTCCAATGCCAGCTGCAGTCTTGAGGAGCTTGGTAGTCCCAAATATTCACACTTTTCAAGTAATATGCATGAATTCATTGCACCCGAAGGCTTTTCGATAAATCCATTCTTAGCCTCCTTCTTAAACAGTCTAATCAAAAACTCCATAAGTAACACAAAAAGAAGTGGATACATCGGATCACCCAGCCTCAGCCCCCGTTTCCCTTGGAAATAACCTGAACTAGACCCATTCAGATTTAGAGAATAACTACATGAAGTTATACACTCCATAATCCATGCCACAAACCTAGAGGGAAAGTGATACTGTTCTAGCATTTCTTTAATAAATTCTAATGAATGGAATCATACGCCTTTTTTAGTGAAAATTGTCAATTTCTATTTGTTTCAGAGGGCTATTTAACCCTTTAATATCCCAGCTAAGCAGATTCATGAGAACTAGCCCCTAAGTTAGGGGAACTAGCACCATGACTATTATAACTGCCTGCTTGCATATGTTTCAATAGCTATTTTCTTGCCATTCCTCTTACATTCCTTCCCATTTGACTATGTGTTTCATTCCTACTTAGCCTACTTGGCATAATTCTGGAAGTCCTGGTTTAAACTTCATTCTGATTTACTATCTTCTGGTTAGGAGACTTTGGATGTAGCACTTGCTTCTTATTTGTCTCCTTCTTTCAACATTTTCAACTCTAGGGCCCTGTACTTCATTTAGTGGCTCCATATCCTTCTTAGCCTGCCATTCCTTCATCACAGTTTCCTGCAAAGCCCAGTTTCATGCCCATAACCTTTGCAATTTACACATTTTACAGGTTGCCATTCATATTTCACTTTCTGTTCTTGTGGAATTCCATTTCTATCTTCAAAAAACATCTCTGTAGGCATCTAATCTGTAATCTTCATTTCTACCAGAATTCTTGCAAAGCTAGTCCGGTTCCTAAGTGTTGTCATCTCATCCATTTTAAGAGGTTTGCCCAGTAGACTGGTAATTCTACTAATGGTTTTAGCAGTCCAATATCTAAGTGGAAGCTTAGGCAGGTGTATCCACATAGGGACCATTTTGATGCCATCTAACTGAAAAACCTTTTCAACGGACCAGTCCTTTACAATCAGAGGACGATTATCAAAATGGTACACATTGTTCATCAACACCTGTTCTTTCGCTAAAGCAGACGTGAATCGAACAACGTAAACACCATTATCCATAAGAAGCACCGTATCTACACCAAATTTACTTCAAATTCTTCTCAGATAGCCATTCACAATGAAAAAAGGTGGGCTAGCCCCCAAGATATGACAAATTAGAGACTAACGCCAGTAATCAACAGCTTCCTGCATCTCATCTTTCTGAATCTTAGCTATGAATTTATCCTGTACTGAAATCGGTTCAATAAACTCGAGCTTCCTACTCATACCCTGCATACGCTTTGGATCGAAATTCCCCCAAACTCCCAAATCCTTAACCCTAGAACCTTGTTCTGTCTCATTTCCTTGATCAAATTTACTACCCGACGAATCCCCAATCTCTACAACTCTCTGATTGCATAATTTTTCTAACATCTCGTTACAATTTGTACCCAATTCCGATCTAGGGTTACATACCTTGCTCACCGACGGCGAACCAGAATTGACCACCACTTGAACATGCTCATCTTCTGGTTGCGTATCCACCGCTTCCACAGCTTTCCCCCTCTTCCTCGGTTTTCCTACCATTGTGGGCTCGAAATCGTGCCGGAAATTTAAGAAATCAGATTTCACGCAGTGGGTGTAAAATCACCCGTAGTTACGGGGAAAGAGAAAATAGTTATTTGGGCAGTCTCATATTCCATGAATAAAGTCTTATTCCGTTTCAAAATATGGGATAATCTCCTGTACATATCATTAATTTTTTTCTTTCACATTAAATTATGAGATTAGGACAAAAAGCCTCCAATTTAAGTTTAAAGGGAAAATTTAACCCTCCTGATGGAATAGTGAAAATAAATCAATAAAATTTTTCTACAACAATGCTCTTTTAAGATTATTGTTATTGTTATTATTGTTATTATTATTTTGGAAAATAACAAAAAAAAAAATCCCAAGCTATAAGATTATTGTTGTTGTTATTATTGTTATTATTATTTTGGAAAATAACAAAAAAAAAAAAAAAATCCCAAGCCATGCCTGAATTTCTCATGCCCTCTTGAAATTTGTTTAAAACAAATAACCCTCTTGACAAATTTAATAATAATTATGTAATCACTTGATTTTATTTTAACTCACAAATTTGGAAAGGGAATTATTATTGCCAAAACAAATTGACATCCAAAACAAAATGTTACTTTTATCTCTAAAATTGCCACTTTTATAGTTAGATTTAATATTCCCATTTCTCCATCCTTATTTTTTTCTACACGCCTTTCTCTCTCTCCCTCTCCCCCCCCCCCTATTACTACTTCTCTGATTAGTATCATCTATCTTTTCATCATGAACTGACCAAGAGAGAAAAATCATGTGCTATTATCGAGAGAAAAAAAACCTAAATCACATCGTTTTGATAATTAGATTGTTTGCCTCTTGTAAAATTCTTGCAAATTATTTCTTTAACCTTCTCCTTTTGTGATGGTGATAATTAGCTAGTATGATAACATGTATAATTGGACTTGCGATAGCTGCCATCGGATAGAAAGGTCCAACGACGAGACTGACACTGTCAATTTCATTGTCTTTTAATTTTTTCCTATTTTAGACAAGCATTTTTTAAAAGCAAATTGAGGTTGACTAATTTTTACTCAGATTTGGGTTGTTCCTTTATTGCTTAAAGGATAGAGTTGTTCCCTTGTTAATTTTAATCAGCACGCTAAATTCAAAAGAAACGTTGTAACTTTGTTAACTTCAATAGAAGCTGAGAAATAATTTTGCAACCAAATAAATGTGGGTTGGAATGCTTTGAAACAAAAGGTAAAAGTAGATAAACTCCTATATTGATAATTTTTACTTTTTATTTTCTTTTTAGTTTTTGGATTTTGGTAATGTACGATGAATTAAAGCCTATATTGGTATTCGACAAAAAAAAAAAAAAACGTATATTGGTATCTATGTTGATTTGGAGAGGAAGAAAGGAGGTCATGTCTGACTTGAAAAGCAATATTTTGTTTTGGGTGCTAATTTTTGTTTTGGCAATAACAATTCCCATTCAGAAAAAAATCCTTATAACGTCACTAATATTCTTTTATTTTACAACAAATGTATAATTTGTGCAATTGATAGTGAAAATTTGGAATGTTATAAATCTCCTATTTAAATTTGTAAATTTTCATAATATGTATTTTATGGATATATGAGCTAATTAATTAAATTATGCTCACTGAAAACAATAATGTATTACTCAGTGTTAGTGGAGATAGTATAGTTTGGAGTGTTTTTGTCTTTATACATTAAAACAAGTTTGAAGTATTATTGCAAATTTAATTTATGAATTATTTTAATCAAAAAATATAATCATAACTATCTTGGTTTTGTAGTCATTTTAACACTCATGGAGTATTAATTTCAAACTTGTGACAGTCAAGGGGGCTTTTATCCTTGTAAGAAAATTTGAGGGGATTAAGTATCATTCTTATTTAAGATCTATATTCATTTTTTAAGTTATCTTATTTCCTGTAGTTAAAGAAGTCACATGAGATCAAATTATCACTACAATAATTAATTTGTTGGAACCTTTGCCTATAACATTTGAAGGTTGGTTTTTGAACAGATATGTAATTGTTCAGAAACGAAAAATTATATGGCCTTTTTACATTACATTGATGTGTGATCCTTTTTCCGGTACATTGATTTATTAAACTCATCTTATTAGCCTCTTGAGGCAACGATCCTCAAGGGCTGAAGTTCAACTGTAATTTCCATTCCTTCCCAATTAGCATTTGAAGGTTTGAGATTTCTGCAGAAGCAAATTGATCTCCACTAACCTTAATACTACTGCATCGGCCCGGATTTCTTCCGATCCTTCTGACCCAGTTGCCGGTTATGATTTCGTAGCCTTTTGGTTCTTTTCCAGACTCAAGGCCTAAGAATATCACTTTGTTGATGATCCATTTCTGACCTAATGCAAAGTTTCCATCCACAACTTTAGCTTCCAGCATTATAGAAGAATTGGTAATGTAGCTGTTGAACTGAACCAGAGTCCACATTCCATTTTCTCCTCCCATCTGTACTTCCTCCCCGTCATCCAGGAAGAGTTCTCCAGTGCTGTTTTCATTCTTGCTAAGAACAACCAAAAGGGCAAATGCAGTTTTCCTTGCAGCTTGAGTTGTCATAGCCTCTCCTTGCATAGCCAATATATTGCCTTCCCGGACATATACGTTCGGATGATCTTGTGGTGCATCAAGTTTTATGTACTGTCCTTGACTCGAACTCACATGCTTAGAGTAATCAAAGAGGCTAAACCAGTTTCCCGCTGGAAAATATGTATCCACTGTGGTTGCTCCAGGCTTTAGTACAGGGGAAACCATTACACCTTTGCCGAGAAGAAACTGCGAATTGATTCCATATGTATTCATATCCTCAGGGAATGAGAAGAAAAGGGGTCTCACAATAGGTGTTCCAGCCATATGTGCCTCATACATCAGCATGTAGAAGTATGGAAGTAACTGATACCGAAGCCCGAGTACCTTTTTTGCTGATGCAGCGACTGAATCCCAAACATAGAGTTCTTGAGAGATAGTATTGTTTGCCGTATGATCTCTAGCAAAAGGGTAAAATGCTCCCAGCTGCATCAAAGAGAGTTTCAGAACGGAACATGCCAATACTAGAGATTAGCTCTCTTCTTTCCTAAACTGGAGTGGCTATTTCTTATCATTACTTTTTAAAGTTCTTGGACAAATGCCAAATCAATTTAAACAGTGTTTTCATAGCAACTTATTCTGGTTCTTTGAACTTAATCTTTCTGTAGATTGGACAGTTTTCTTCCTGCGCCTAACCTGCACTAAGTTTTGAGAATCTTTTGGAATCACAGTGATTACAGAGAATATAAAGGAGTGGGTGAAATTTAACAGAACTCATTAGACAGATGGAACTACTCTTGAAGTTAATAGCCTACTCATTGTCATTGATAGGAAAAGCAACATTGGTGATACCTGAATCCATCGGCGACAAAGCTCTTCGGTGGTGTTTCCAGAGAAACCACATATATCTGCTCCAACCATTGGAATCCCAAAAAGTCCAAAGCTCAAAATGGTAGGAATCGAGTACGCCAAATCATCCCAAGTGGCAGCATTATCACCTGTCCAATGTGCTGCATATTGGCCAGAACCAACGAAAGTTGACCTTGAAAGGATGAAAGGCCTTTTACCTTTCAGTTTAACTAGAGCCTGATTTGTTGCTCTAGACTCCAGGAATCCATAGAGGTTGTGGACATTATACTCGGTAACATTATTGAAATGTTCCGCAGTTGCAGGTACCGTTTTATCGATAATGGACACATTAGCACCAGAATTGTTTACCTTATAAGGAGGATCATCAAGTTTAGATGATGAAGTAGGAAAAGAAGTTATAAAATTTGATAACTCATTCATGTCAAGCCAGAGGCCATCAAAGGAAACGAGCTTCTGAAATTGGCTGATTTCGTTGCCCCAAAAGAGTCCACCGGCTGGGTTTAGAAAATCTGGGAAGTATACATTTCCAGGCCAAACAACACCCTGGTATGGTTTATTATCTCGCTTAATGAAAATATTTGCCTTCATTCCTCTCTTGTAAGTCTCATATGTCTCATTGATGCTTATACCTGAAATAAAAATAAACAAAATTTGTTCACATTGGGCAGAAGTTGGGCTAACTTTCCAGCTAGAAATCGCAATTTGAGCACCATTGACCTAAAACTATGATCTATTAAGTTAGTATTCAAACAAGGAAATGCCATCTGCGGAGAAGAGTTTACCAGGGTCAAGAATGAGCACATATTTTTGACCATTTTTGTGAAGCATATCAAGGAACTTCTTCATCTCATCCAAAGGAAAGTTTACAGGATCAAGTGTAAAATCCTTAAATCCATCCATATAATCAATATCAGTCCACATAACTTCAAGAGGAATTCCAGCTTTCGCATAACCAGCAACCACTCTTTCAAGATTAGACACATTTTTGTAACCCCAACGGCATTGATGAAATCCTGTTCAATGGCATCCAGTCAGAGTTCAATAGTAATCCGTAATTTTAAAAAAGTATCCATACTAGACTTACACATTGACCTCTCAGAAAATAATATGGAACAGAAATTTACCAAATTCTTAAGCACTAATTCATGAATCAAAAATGGCAGCATTGTTAGGAGGACTCACCAAAGGACCAGTAAGGCATGGGAGCAGGACGACCAATGAGCTGCGTGTACTGATCCACAACCATCTTCGGCGTTGGTCCGGCGAATAAATACAAATCAATAATTCCCCCGATTACTTTGTAAGTAATCCGATCGCCACTGTACACAACATCCATGGCATTACTGTTTAGCAACAGAACTCCATGACTGGTCCCATTAGGCGATCTCACGTCCAAATAAAAGGGATGAAATCCGTATAAATTCAGGCCAACATTGGCGCTTCCAATGTCAGCATTCCAAAGGGTCAACTTCTGATTATGTTCGATTCTAAACGACCTCTTCGTGTGTTCTCCGAGGCCATAGAGATTGGCCCTTGTCGACGGCAATGAGGAAGATAGCTGGAGGTATTGGTCCTTGTAGACGAGAAAAGTGTTGGGATTGTTCGGTTCTGGGGTGGTGTCGAAGAGGGTCTCTCCGGTGGAGAGCCGGCCGACGGAGAAACCAAAAGGGGTGGTGTTATGAAGTCGGAATACCAGGTCGGAGCCAGAATTCTGGAGTAGATGGTGGCTGCCACGGTGGTGCGCATCCGGAACTGACTCCGGCACAGATGGTGGCGGCGGTGAATCTCGGGGCAGAACATTGTATGGAACTTCCCATCGTGTATCTTTAGGATCTATTATTCGGATTCTCAAACGATCCCCTGTTTCCCAGCTGTAACCAAATTTTGCCAGGGCATAAAAACAAGGAAAAATATACGAGATTTTGGCAAAACCACCATTTTAACAGTAGGTTGAGAGCTTAGGCAATCAAAATCGACCAATTAACCTTATCTTTAGTAAAAAGCTTACCTTGCTGTTAGTTGAAGAATGGGTATATCAGGGCCAAAAACAGTGGAATTCTTAACCAATTTAAGAGTAGCAATTAGATACTGTCCGGTAGGATCCAAATCAGCAGACGTGAACACATAACCATAACCCGCAATCTGCTCAACATCTCCGGCAGCAACCAAAAGGGATGTCCGGCAGTTTATGAATAAATGAATTATTACACAAATGTGAATGATCCGCCGTTGAAATTGAGGAAAATTATGCGTATAATAATATTTTTTTTGATCAGTAGGTGGTGTCATTTTGGTTCGTAATTAAAACTCTTAACGTTGTAGTGTCCTGATTGGTTTCTCTGATTTTTGGTTTAAGAACGAAATCCTAAATACTACGGCTTGACAAATGTCCAAATGACACCAAATAAAATAACGTTGCTTTCAGGGCAGCAAAACAATGGTCCTAACAAGCTCTTTTTTTGGACTTACATAGTTTGTTCTGTTCCGTTGCAAGCCTGCTTTTGACTCTTCTTTCATAGCAAGATACAACTTTCAACTAGACAATGAATAACGGCTGTAAAAGGACAAAATAATGAAACTGATCATTTTTCAATCTATTGTTATTCCAAAATTCTATTAGCATCAACGGAAGAAGCGTTCACACTGCACAATTCAGATTTCAGGTCAGGTTTGGACTGCATCTTATCAACTTAATTAAAAGTGAAAACCATAAATACTATCAATCCGAATAAACAATACAATTATTTCGGGACCAGGAGTACAATGTACTACTTGTATGTATCTATAGTATTCTCTTTCTTCCCTCCATAATCTTCTAACACCTCCTCTGATGGCAGTAATATATATATACTTTTAGCAGATATTTTCTACTCATTTTTCCTTAGAATTACGTGTTAATTAATTAGAATTAGTTTACTTTTGGGTGAATTTTGTATTTTAAGGTAATCAAGGGGCCAATGCGGAAAATCAGCATAATGAGGGCCAAATTGTACAAAAGAGCATCATTTTAGATTGAAATGGAAGCTACTGGAAATCAGGCTGCTGGAAGGTCGATCAGAGCTGTTGCAAGTGCATAAATCCTTGCTGAGAAAGGAAGAATGGCAGCAGATGATCACAACTTGGAAGAATCTGCAACACACTCAATTGATATGAAGAAGGGCAGCTACTCTGCTGCCAAGTTGCTGCTGTAGTAACTTTTGCTGCTGTCAATTAAAGAGGAAGCCATGAGCTGAAATCTTGGTGCCTAAGGAAGGAAATTGCTTTGTCATCACTGCAAGTTGTTGCTGATGCAAGTGGAAGAAGAGAAAGAGGGAGAAATGTGAAGAACTGCAGCTGCAACTCTACTACTTACCAACTGATGCTTCTGCCGAGTTGATGGATTGGTTGTTGCAGAAGGGTGAGCAATGATATAGCAAGTGATCCAGGAAACAAGGAAAGAAATTGAGGCTAAATTGGGGGGTAGAAACACAATGATGGAAGGAAGTATGCTGCTGATGCTGCTGCTTGCTGACTGCTGCAAATTGAGTTGTGAGGGTTAAAGAATGAAGAAATGGAGATTTGTGGCTGCAAATGGTGAGAAGGCGCCGGAGAAGAAGATTAAGGAGAAGCAACAATGATGAAGGAAGGAGTCAACCAGAGAAGACAGCAACTTGCCAATTGGGCAAGTTGTTGAATAAACAAATACCTTTGGCTGCTGCAACTTGCTGTCTCCTCTGATCTGCTGCAAAGAAGTCCATAATCCACCAATCCAAGCCTCTCCAAATTTCTATAAATAGTCAGCTAATAGCAGTAGTTAAAGGAGGACATATTGAGTAGTTAGAATCAGTTACAAAAACAGTAGTTAGGTAGTTAGTTAGTTGGATAGAAACAGGGTAGTAGCAAGAATAGAAGTGCAGACTGTCACTCTGTCAAGTGGAGAACGGCACTCGCCTAAGTGAACAGACAGTAACTGCCCTGCTACCATCTTTCCCTTCTATCATCTAACCTTTTGATCTTGAATTATGTCTTATCTTTTACACTTTGTTGCTCTCATGTTTAACTCCATAAACATGAGTAGCTAACTCAGTTAAGGGTTCAATCCCTACTATCTTTATGTGAAGGTTTTGATTCAATTTTCCTTGATGAGGCATTGTTTCTAGTTTAAGTGCTTAAATTAACCTTTTGATTAAACTGGCCACTTAATTAAATGTGGTTGTAAGTTATGGAGATCTGAGAGGGCAAACATAACCAGAGCATCTTAAATCAGTCCATGACAAAAGGAGAAAATCTACCATTTGGTTTCAATCATCAACGAGAGTTAGGTGATTGGCATAGGTGATCAATAGGGCTTAAGAACTTAATGGCCTAGGTTAATCTCAATAATTTGACTGAGAGCTAGATCATTTGGTAATCTAGGACTCTTTACTCTGTCTGAGAGGAATGGTAAAGAATACATGTGCCCCACCAAACAATAAATCATATACTACAGGATTACTTGAATCAGAATTAGATCATAAAGATAGGAAGGTGAATGACCCTTCTGCCTTCACTCTGTCAAGTGACTATTCTCACTCTCCTAAGTGACAAGTCTGTTCATCTCTTTCACTTTCTTTTCTTTGCACTTTAATCAAATTTTGAGCGGTTGACTGCCGTCTCTGTGGAACGACCCTACTTACCATTAGCTAATAGTTTTAAGTAGGTTTTTATAAATATTCTATTTGGGGTTGGAATCAACGACAACGCAATTCTAAACTACCAAAAGTGGCGCCGATTGCCGGGGATGGCGTTAAATATCCTTAAAGTCTGATTATTGTGTTCAGTTTTTATTCTTTTTAGTTTTTCTGCTTTCACTCAAATTCACTGAGTCAAATCACAAATCTTTTTATTGTTACTTTTCGTATTTTGATTACTGGTTTATGACTAGAAGCAATCCATCAGGAGAGCTATGTTTTGATACAGAGATTGAAATCACGTCAAGGAGATCTAAAGCCTTGCGAAACAGAGAAGCTGCTGCTCGTGTTCTTAAAAACCAGAAGCAGATGGCAGAGGTAGCAGCAGTTGATCAACCTCAACAAAGAAAGCTACAACCAGGTCCACCCAGACTGCTAAGAGATTATTTTGTACCTTAAGAGGAGGAAGTTCAAACTCCACTTGTGTACAATGATGTTGCAGCAGAGAACTTTGAGCTCAAAACTCAAATGATTCAATGGGTGCAAGCTGCTTGTCCTTTCTATGGACTGCCTAGTGAAGATCCCAATGAGCACATCAGGAAGTTTCTGAGGCTGTGCATCACGTTCAAGACTCAAGGTTTGTCCAAGGACGAGGTTTACTTGAGACTATTTCCATTCACATTGCAGGACTTAGCCACAAAATGGTTGGACACTCTGCCCAACAGTGCAATCAACTCCTAGAATGGACTCAAACAGGCATTCCTTACAAAATTCTTCCCACCTGTCAAAGCTGCTGCTTTAAGATCAGCCATCATGGCTTTTCAGCAGCATGGAACAGAAACTCTTTATGAGGCTTGGGAGAAATTTAAGGAACTGATGAGGAAATGTCCTCAACATGGTGCAGAAAAACCAATGTCGCTGTGTATCTTCTACAATGGATTGCAAAAGGCTTCCAGAGAATCACTTGATTCATCTTCTGGAGGAGTCTTCATGATGAAACCCGTGGAGGAGGTAATCCAACTATTAGAGAATATGTGTGCTAATCATTTCAGATGGCAGAAGGAGCCCAGAGCTACAACTAATAAAGCATGAATGTTGGAGCTTGATGCTACAACTCACTTGCAAGCCGAGATGGCAGCCATCACAAGTGAAATAACCAAGTTAAGAGCTGACATCAATGAGCCAAAAGCTGATGTCTGTGAGATTTGCTTAGGATCTCACAACAGCTCCACTTGTCAAGTCACATTGGAAGAAGTTCAGTTCGTGAGACAAGGAAATGACAGAGACAGATTCAACAATTACAACAATTGGAGGCCTCAACAGAGCAATGACTGGACTATTCAGCAATATCAGAGACCAATCAACCACCAGGATTTCAGAATCAACCACTCAGAGTCAAGGAGGAGGACTGTATCAAGGTGGGTAATGTTCTTGCTAGCCTTGATGCCACTGTGAAAGATATGCAAAATCAGGTGGCACAGATGGCAAGAAAGATACCAGACAGACCTGTTGGATCACTTCCTAGTGACACACTGGAGAATCCTAAGAGGAGAGAAGCACACCATACAGTTCAGAACCAAGAGATGCAGCACAAGGATGTGCGGCAACTCAAAGAAGTAAATTAGAAGCACCACTGAGTTTGTCATGAGACTTTAAAACAATGCACTGCTTGGGAGGCAACCTAAGTTAAGTTCTTTTGTTCTTCTTAATTTTGGTTCAATTAGTATTTTGGTTCATTAATCAATCTGTTCAGTAGCAATCAGAAAGAGTGGAACAACCCTTATCAGAAATGTTCAGGTGGACTTGTGTGGATGGTTAACTTGAAATGCCTAGCCGACTGTGATATAATCAGAACGGCAACATTTAAGTTTAATTATCTACACCAAGCAATGGACATTGATCTGCCGTCTCAATTAGGCGAGTGATAGAATCACTTTCGTGACTGAGATGATTGATCAAAGTAAATTTGCTTAAAACAACCACTAAGTGTTCTAGTCAAAGGGAAGCAGGAAGGACGGAAGCTTAATTTAAAATAGCGGGTGAAATTGGAGGGTAAAATTGTCTAGAGTAGTGCCTGGAAAACTAGAATATTCCTACCCGAAAACTGACACCCCAAACCCCTATAAAAGTACCTTTAATTTTTACAACCCCCTTCCATCTTCTAAAATCTTCCATCAATTACCAACAACAAAACCCTAAATCCTGAAGGAAACCACAATCCTCAAAAACACATCACTACACATGGCCAGACACAGGCAATCCGCAAGACAAAGGGGGGTAGAAGACTCCCGAGCTATCAGACAAACACTAGCCACTACGGCAGCCAAGCGGACAAGGAATCAGAGGAAAGCCCATCGGACTCGTACAAATGAGAACGGTAATATTGGCAATATTGAACGAGAGGAGGTTTACCAGCAAGGATGGGAACGACGAATGATAATAGAAAGGGCAGCGTCCTTCCCAATAGATCTATCATCCTACATTGTCGACCATTACTGGGAAAGACTTTGTGATATTCCTCTAAGGCCAAATTTCTGTGCGGTCAGGGAATTTTACAGTAGTATGCAAGAAACACAAGGTGACAATGTGGTGGTGAGAGGCAGAGCAGTCGACATTAGTGTGGCAACTATAAGAGAGTTACTGCAATTGCCACAGGTAGATCTCCCCCATGAAGAAGCATTGCACCAGATGATGGAATTCAACCATG